CTCTGCTGGTGTACCTGTGCCGCCTCTTCGTGGAGGCCCCAAGGTGGCCAGTGGGGACCCGTTTTTTATTGAGACGTTCAACGGTTCGTGTTGGAAGACACTTCGGAGAAGGTTACGAGAGACTTCGGCGGTGATAGTGTGCGCTCAGGAGATAGGCATCAGCGTTTCTTTCCTGGGACAAGCGACGGCCTCGGCACGCTCGCTCGGTTTCCACGCCTTGTTCGGCCCCTCGTTCCTGAACGCTGAGACAGGCAAGGTCTCGTGCGGTGTCGCCGTCTTCGCACGGATCAGCATTGGTTTACGATGGCCTCCAGAAGGTCCTGGCCCAGTCGTTCCTGGACGAGCTATCAAGGTTCTGGCGGACTTTCCTGGATGGCCCACGGTGACGGTTTTCTCGGTTTATTTGAAGACATCGGAGGGCCTCAGCGAGGCCAACGTCCAGATGATCGCGAAGATAGGTAAGCAGGTGAATGACCCAACTCATACGATCCTCGCGGGGGACTGGAATCTCACACCACAGGTTCTGGAGGCTTCTGGAGTTCCACGCAAGCTGGGGATGTTGGTTCTGGCGCCGATTGAGCACACGTGTCGCACCCCGTCTACGAACACAATTATTGATTTCTTCGTCATGGGCCCCGGTTTGTCTAGATTGATTTCTGGAGTTGCAGCGGTCATGTCTTGGGATGTCAAGCCCCACAGACCTGTCCAACTCAAGGTTCGTGCAGATGCTCTTTCCCTCAGGCAGCTAGTGTATCGTAGCTATCAGCGTCTCCCTGTCGATGTGCCTTTCGGACCGCGGCCTCAACCTCCAGCGTGGCAAGGCGCTCTTGCTCATGCTGCGCAGGCAGCGGCTTGGGCCATGCACGAGAAGGCCACGGTGGCCTGGAGTGTTTTGAATAATGCATGGGCGCAGTTTGTGGATGTCGCCGAGCTGGAGCTTACCCGCACTTTAGGTTTCGAGCCGAAGGAGTTGGGTGAGCGTTCGCGAACGATCAAGTCGTCCTGGGTTTCAGTTTTCTATCGCCCGAAGGATCCTGAGGATAAGCTCCAGATCGTTGCTGGTTGGAGGTGGCTGTACCAGTCTTTTCAAGAATTTACCCTGACGGTGCAATATGCGACCGAGGATGCCGTGCAGTGTTGCATCCAGCTTCAGGTATCGCTCCAGGACTCCTGCCCTGGCGAAGGCCTGTCTGTGCGCCTTGATGCCTCCCTCCGTGCTATGCGCACTCTGGCGAGGAGCTGGCAACACCACAGCAGCTTCCATCGGCAGGAGTGGCTTGAGCTAGCTCAGCAGTTGTTAGAGGATGTTCGTGAGGATTATGAGCAAGCTGGGGCGGATGGGGATCGAATGCAGCGGGAGTCGTGGGACCTCTGGCAGGAACGGGCCCTCGCTGGCTCAGCTCGGATAATGCATCGTTTTACGAAGCTGAAAAAGGTTTGGCAGCCGACAGTTATCCAGAGTGCGCCTGGAGTGTTTACTGCGGATCCCCACGCCCTTCTGGAGGATGAAGCTCAGACGTTGGGAAGATTCTGGGGAGCGGACTTGAAGCCACCTGAAGCCTGGATTCCGGATCGTCAATGTTTCCCTCGGGCCAGCGTTGATGAACTTCGGAAAGCGTCCCTGAGCTTCAGCCGCCACACCGCCCAGAGCTTAGATGGATTTCACCCGCGGCATGTTGGTGCCCTCTCCGACGAGGGCCTCACGTGCCTGGCCGTGCTCTACGAGGCCGTGGAGCGGCTGGGCCTTTTCCCCGCGCAGCTACTGTGGATGCTGCTGCCTTTACTGGAGAAGCCCAAAGGAGGTCTCAGGCCGATTCTTCTTCTGGGATCTTTTGTTCGAGTTTGGGAGCGACTTCGGAGACCTCAGGCTGATGCTTTCCTGGATCGGGCCCAGCGGCCTTACTGGTCTTTTGGCGCGGGGCAGTCTGCAGAGGTATCGATATGGCAACAAAGTGTGAGAGCCGAGGAGACCTCCGAAAAGGGCGATTACACGGCAGGTTTCATTTGGGACGGAATGAAGTACTATGAGTCCTTTCGGCTCCTGTGGCTGAGGGATCGGGCCCTGTACTGGCGTATACCAACGGTTCTCATAAAAGTCTTGTGCAACCTCTGGAGGTCCCCGAGAGTACTCCGTCTGGGAGCTCATCACTGCCCGCTTATTCAGTTTGCGCAAAACGGTTTACCAGCAGGGGACATTTTCAATGATGTTTTCGTGAAGGTTTACGCGATGTTCGAGTTTGATCTCTGGTCTAGCCGAAATCCTGGGGTTAGTTTGGGATCGTACGTCGACGACGACACGGTTTCGGCCCATGGTCCTGAAAGTGTCATTATGTACGATTTGGTCAAGGCTGCCAAAGATTTGAAGTGGGTCTTTCAGACACGTTTAGGTGTGCGGCTAGCTGAAGACAAAGCGGTATCTTTTTCGTCGTCCAGCAGGATAGCTTCCAAGCTGTGCAGGCGACTTCAGCCAATATGCCCTTCCTCGGCCACGAACTCCACGGTGTCGCTGGGCGTGGACCTAGCACCTGGTCAGGGGTTATCGGCTAAGAAGGCTAGAGCTCGGCGGCGGCAACGGTTTCACGATATGCGAATTCGTAGCCGGCTACTCCAGCACTATATGAAGAAGCTTCCCAGGGACCGTACGCGTATTAACAAGATATATGTAGCAGGAGTACGGCCAGCAGCAGGTTTCGGTAGCATGGTCCTAGGAGTATCTGATCATGAGTTGGCTTCTTTACGTTCAGTGCTTATGTCAGGCAAGTCTCCTGCTCATCGGGGAGCCAGCTTGACAGCGAAGTGTGTGCTTCATGGAGACCCTGCGCGGCGTCAGGCGGTCGCCCCAGCACTTCAGTGGTCGAACAGCCTCTGGCAGAGCCTCACGGAGCCCACGGTGTGCCACTTCTCTTTTCGGGATCACATTCGGATATGGCGTGCAATATCGAGTTCCTCTCCTGAGTTAGGCCCCACTGTCTGGCGTAAGTCTAAAGGTCCAGTGCACAGAATGCTCCTCTCCCTCCATCGTATTGGGTGGCGTGCAGATAATTTTGCGTTGTGGAGAGATGACCGCGATCGCGTGGTTGATTTAATGTACACCTCCCCAGCGTTAGTGGCCAAGCAGCTCGAGGCTGGTGTGCAGAGAGCCCTTGAGCGCAAGATGGCCACCGATTTAGATGATTTCAATGATGTCCGAGTCTGCCCAGACCCTGTCGCTAAGTTGTTCCGTTCACGTAAGACCACGGCCAGACAAAAATATTGGCTCTCGGCTGTGTTTTCAGGTGCCTGTTGGACGGGAGATCGGTTGAGAGCGTGCGGGTATGACCACGGGGGGGGTTGTCCTTTGTGCGGGGAACCCGACTCCCTGTTCCATCGGCAATGGCTCTGTCCGAGTGTGGCCGAACAGAGGCTCGAGCATGTCAGTCAGGAGTTGATTGATCAGGTGAAAGCTGCCGAGCCCCAGGAGCTTTTGTTTTGGTCGAGGCTCATTGTGCCTCAGCCTGTGGTCCCTGGTCCGTCCTGGAACCTCGACCCGATTTTTCAGGATCCCGAGGGCCAGGAAATCACTTTTGAAGATTTTCTTGAGCTGGCCCGTGGGTGTGAGCCCGTGGTCGACGGCTCAGCAACGCAGCAGGTTTTTAAGGAGCTCCAACGCGCGGCGTTCGGGGCTGTGTTCCTAGCACCTGGCCCCGAATACAAGATTCAGGCACGGATGATGGGCACAGTATGGCCCACCTTTTTCCAGACCCCGCAGTCGGCGGAGCATCTAGGTATGGCAACGCTCAGCTGTGTCATAGATTACCCTGCCACCCCTCACAGTGACTGCTCTGGTGCCGTTAATCTGCACAATGCTAGTCGTCGGGAACAGCTGTGCCCAAAGCAGATGTTTGCTGGCCTTAGGAGGCTCGCCGTGGAACACGACCCTCAGGGCTGTCTGGGACCTGCCTCCTACACCCCTGCCCACAGGTCTGAGGAGGTGATTTTGGCTTTACCGATTTTGGAGCGTCGCATTGCACTGGGAAATGCTGATGCTGATAGGTTAGCCAAGCACGCACTGACACTTCACCCAGGGGCTCCGACTGAAGACCTCGAGGCTCTTGATGTGTGCGTGAAGCGTGTGAAAGATTTAGTTCGAATGTTTGATGCTGTGCTCTCCTGCTACCCCAAGATGGAGTTCCGTCGCGCTGCCAGAGGCCTTCGGACGACGGCGGCTGTCAGAGATCCGAGTTGGCACGACTGGTGCGAGATCGACTCGGGGGTAGTTTGGAGGTGCACAAAGTGTTTTTCGATCACCTGGGAACAGGATAGATCGATGGTAGGGTGCAATGGGGGTCCCCACAGCTTTTCGGAATCTGAAGGATGCCGAGGAACGGGGGCACCTCCTAGCTTGCGCGATGATTGACAATGAGGCCCAGGAACCTTTAGTGTTTTGCTACAGGTGTGGTGCCTACTCTTCGAAAAGGTGTGTTTTGCTGGCGGGGCGGTGTTGTGGGAAGCTGGGCACGAGATCCCAGACCCTCTCCCGAGTCAAGCAGGGGCTCCATCCTCACTTTTACAATGATAATCGTGTCACGGACCCTTGCCGTCGCTCCGCCGAGGCTGTTATTGAGGCCGCGACCACACAAGGTGGTAAACCGACGGCCTCACGCCTGCGCCTCGTGTCAACTCCTGGCATGGAGGCTCTGGCGGCCCGCGTTCGTGCGCGGGAAGAAGCTGCAGCTGCCCCCCGTCGATCGGGTTAGGCAGGTTTTGCTCTGTTCTGCCTCGAGGGCCTCCGAGGGAAAACTCCTCCTCCTATTCCTCCTCCTTCCTCCTCCTCCTTCGCCTCCTCGTCGTCCTCCTCCTCCTCCTCCTCCTCCTCCTCCTCCTCCTCCTCCTCCTCCTCCTCCTCCTCTCCCTTCTCCTTCCATTCCTCTGCCTGCTCGTTCTGGTGCTGCTCCTCCCTCGCCCCCTTCTCCTCCGCCATCTCCTCCCCCCCCCTGCCGCTGCTCTTCCTCCTCACGCGTCGAGGCGGCTCCCGGGGACGACGTTCTGCCAGCCAAGCTACCCCGGGACGTCCCGGCCTGGCTGACGCTGCAGCCCGACGGCGTGCCGGATGTCATAGAGGCGAGCCGCGAAGCGGCGTCCGTCTGGGTCTTGCCTGCCTGAGAGTGTCGGGCCAGACGAAAGGGGGGATTGGGAAAGGGTGGGTTACGAAATTTGCTGCATGCAGCTGGTTTCGGCCCCACCGAGGGGCCCATTCCTCGATACATAGTCGCCTCCGGCGCCGGGAGGCGTCGGGAAAATCAGCTACGTGAGCTGATTCTCAACCCCCACCTCTGCTATCCCCCCCTTTCGCCCGACCCGAGAGTGGGGAGGAGGCTGAGCAGGAGAAGGAGGAGGAGGAGGTGTCAAATCCGTAGCCATTTTGGCTCAAGTCCGGAGCCGTTTTGGCACAGGACCTGGCCTCACTGGCAAGGGGGAGCAGCGGCCCCCACAGTGCCCCTCGTTTGCCTGGTCAGACGAGGCTTTGCAGTGTTTGTGTGAGCTCCTGTTGGAGCAGTCTCTTTGTTCTCTTGCGTCTGGCAGTGCGATGTCGAATGGGGCTGGTTCGAAGGATGTTCTCCTCGGGCCGCGTAAGCCGCTGTGGAGTTGTACTAAGTGTCATCGCAAAGGGAACTGGGCGTCTCGGATCAAGTGTGTGTTGCGGCTGCGCAGCGCCCGTTGAGGTATCAAGAGCAGCCAAAAAAACACATGAGATGGCAGTCGCAGGTGGATCGAAGCAGCAGTCGCCGAAGGGCAAATGGTCTCAGGGTGCGCCGCAGTTGCAGGAGGCGATGGGCTCCATCCTCAAGCGGCTCGACTCGATCGAGAAGGGTGGTAAGGCTGCTGGTTCCAAGCCTCCTCCGTGGCGCAGTGATTCCGAGGACGGAAAGGAAGCCAAGGACATCAAGGAGAGGCTTGGCCACTGGCAAAAAACGACACGTTTCGCTACTCACGAAGAAGATCGTGTACTGGCTGAAGCACAAGTCGAGCGACTGCAGAAGGCATTGCAAGAAGCCAGGCCGTTGCACGTCGAGCAGATGTCCGTCAACACGCGCCTTGCCAGGGCGAAGGAGACGGTGGCCACGCTCGAGGCGAACCTGGAGGAAAAGCGCCAGGAGGTGGAGAAGGCCAAGGCGGACCTGGACAAGCAGCTGGTCGATGCGCAGATGGCCCTTGATGAAGCCAGGAGGCAAGCTGAAGTCCTGCAGCAAGAAGCTCGTGAAGCATATGCCAAGGGCCTCGTGCAGGACGGCGAGCAGATCCTCAAGATGGGGGAGCCGCAGTTCGCCTCAGCCAGTCAGGAGTTCAAGGACTGGTTCGGCAGACTACGTGCCGACGAAGTTGGAGGCAAACACCTGGACACCCTGCGGCAGCTGCTCGAGGCCCAGGCAGTGTTCATCAAGGCGTCCCAGAGCCAGGCTGGGGTCGCTGCAGGCGGTGGCGAACATGTTCGTGCTGGGGCTGATGATGACGATATGGAGCTCGACGAGCAAGCCGAGATCAACCTTGCCACTGCAGGAGAGGCTCTCATTGAAGCCAAGCGTGCAGCGGAAGGTGATGCCAGCAATGAGGAAGCTGCCCTTCAGATTGCTGCGGCGAAGCGAGTCCTGCGAGAACAGCTTGCCTCAATACGCAAGAAGCGAGCCCGTGTTTAATAATGTTGGAGCTGGTCCTGTCAGTGTGATGATTGACAGCAACTCTGATTTCTGGCAGGACAATGCGATTGACGTCGACTGGCCTGATCTGGGATTTGCGGTGCCTACGATTCAGCACCATCGGGTTTTCCAGGACATCAGGGAGGCCCCATCAAATGGTTGGAAGAAGTGGTCCACTCCTTCAACTACAGCAGCAGTGTCATCGGCAGCGGCTACCTTCTCTGGTGAATGCACGGACGCGGTGACGCGGGTGATATGTGCTGCTATCTCGTTCCCACGTTGCGCTCGACAAGGTGATCGACTCATTTGGCCTCAGGACGAGCGTGGTCATGCTGACCGCGCACGCGCACTCGCTCTGGGAGAAGCTGTTCGTCTCCCAGGTAGTCAGGAGCTGGATGCCCCTCAACGCGATGTTGGAGTTCAACGTCTTGAGCGCCAGCCCCCTGATGAAGTGTGCAGAGTTGATGTGGTGGCACAGCAGCAGGAAGGTGAGCCTTGTGTACAGGCTCCTGGCTCCGCCCCCGCTGCTGCTCCTGACCGTAGGACTCCGAGGGATGGGAAAGCTAAAGGGAAGCGGAATGAGTGGGTATGCTTTCCTGCAACGCTAATACCTGGTCTTCCTGGGAGCTGATCCTGGAGTGGAGGATGGAGGAGGTCCATAGTCCGAAGGCGCAGTTTTGGGCGGCACAAGAGACGAGGGTTTCGGAGATGCAGTTGATTAACCAATACTCTGGGCCCCTTCGGGCAAGAGGTCTCAATGCCGATTTTTGCCCAGCAGTCTGCGCAGGTGCGTCAGTTTTGTCTACTTCGGCAGGTGTGTTGGCTGGAGGCCTCTCCCACATCTGCCAGCGCACGCTGCAGCTGGATGAGGTCTATGCCGTGCCTGATACGCGGGGCAGGACCATGACATGTAGATGGGGTCCTGTCTGGTGGGATTATCTGGATGTCTGTTTACTTTTACCACCCGCAGGGGGTCCAGGGCGACGACCTTCCCTTGATGGCGGCATTGGGTAAGCACCTCAGTTCTCTGGCTCTTCCCTGGGTGATTGGTTGTGATGCCAATATGAGTCCTGGGACGTCTGGGCTTGATGCATGGTGTCATAGACTTGGGGCTGCGGTTGTGTCTCCTGGGAAGAAGACTTGCGCCGCGGGATCTGGACAGGAATATGAGTATTTGTAGTGTGTCTGCTGGTCTGCCGTCTTGCGTCAACTCCATTAAGGTATGGAGTGAGGCACCCTGCTCTCCACGCTCCCCAGTGGAACTTACTCTACGAGGAGTAAGCCTTGCGATTCCTGTTCACGTCAGAGTAAAGCGGAAAGAGTTCCCTACTAAGCCTCAGACGGGATGCCTTCGTTGGCCTCTACAGTTGCCTTGGGCTTGGTGCATTGGTGGCACGAGGGACCTGGGCTTGGAGGTGGTTTGGGACCTATGGGTTCAGAATGTTGAAAGGGAGCTTTGCCATATCTTTGACATCGCGGGGGAGGGGATGGAGGAGCGCACTGGAAGGTCCAAGGGTTTCAGGAGGATGCATGTTTCTTTGGACACGGTCTTGAAAAGGAAAGTGGTTTGCCCACAGTACTCCTCGCCTTCGTGCCTGGCGAGCGCTAGATGCTCTGCTAGTCAAGGCTGCTGCGTGCGCAGAGGACCTGGAGGGATCTGCTACGTGGCCTTCGTTGCGTGCTTCCATCATTGGCCTGAGCTTGGACAGGCTAGGAGCCAAGTTCCAATGTCTGGCCCCTAGCCTTCCTGAGCTGATTCGCAAGATCGAGGACTCTGGGGGTGTCGAGATCGGTTACCTGGGGCCGTCTTGCAAGATGACCTATGAGAAGATGCTCAGAGATCGCACGTCGAAGAGATGGTCGGATTGGAAGGCTTGGGCCCAGGAGGCCGTGTCTGCTAAGGCTGGCAAGGCCGCGCATGCGTACTCTAAGGTAGAGGCCCCTGCACAGTGGCCGCGTGCTGCCGAGGAATGGGCTCTCCAAGGGGACAAAGCTATTGCCGCCATGCAGTGGGCCCTTAGTAAGTTCAAGCACGAGACGGGCCTGGGTTGACTGCATGAATCCTCGTAGCTGGCTATTGTTTCCTGTTGAATACGTGGATCGTTTGATCGACCTGTTCCTGCTCTGGGAAAAGTGCCCCAAGTTGCCCGATAAGTATGCCACTCTCATCGTTTTCCAGGGTAAACCAGACGGTGCTGGATTGCGCCCGCTGGCCCTTATTGTTTCGATTCTCAGGGTCTGGGCCAGGGTGCGTCAGCAAGTGGTCAGATCCTGGGAGCGAGCGCATGCTGCTCAGTTTTTCTGGGGTGAGAGGGGCAAGGAATGCGACAGAGCGGGGTGGAATCATGCCATGATGTGTGAGCTTGCACGGATAAAACGTTTCCACACTGGTACCCTGTTTAGTGATGTGGACAAGTTTTACGAGAGAGTTGCACCGTCTATTCGATTTGAGGAGGCTAAAGCTACTGGTTTCAGCCTCCGCCTCACGCGCGCTGCCATTCAGTTGTATGTTGGTGCCGGAGCTCTCACGCTCCAAGGGGCTATCGCGGACATTGTGCATGCGACGGGCACGATTCTTGCTGGTTGCAGCTTGGCCACATCTTTTGCACGAGTGGTTATGTAACATAGGCTTCTCTCTGCAGTTACGGCGGCCTACCCATCCCTCATGATCAGGAATGTGATCGATGATGTATCCATGCAGTCTATTGGTACGGTGAGGTATGTGGGGGAGCAGCTGGGAGGAGCCGGGGCGATGCTTAAGGAAGGGTTTGAGAAACTTAAGCATGTCCTATCGGGGAAAAAGACCAAGTATATATCCTCGTGCAAGGAATTAGATGTGGTGCTCAGTGGTATGTGGGGTCAGTATGGGTTCAAGTCTCAAGTTGCTGTCCGTTCTTTGGGGTGTGACGCTGTGGCGAGACGTCTTCGGCGAAACCCTACCTCGCGCTCGGCTTGCGAAAGCATCTAAGCGGTCCAGAAGATTGCTGAGATTGAAGAATGCAGGTGCTTTTGTTGGCAACCTCCAGAGAGCTGGACCCCAAGCTGCAGGGCTCTGGGGATCGGCGGTGGCAGGGATGTGCCCTAAGCAGTTGCACGCCATGGGACTTGCAGCGACACGTGGTCTGACCAAGGACAAGTCGGGGGCCCTCATGTCGTTCAGGCTCAGGTTGCACCCAGTTGGAGCCCGCATGGACCCTTATCTTATTTACCATACTAACGTGGTCTTACAGTGGTGTAGGGCAATCTGGGATGGGTCTCCTGGGCTGGATGTTATGCAGTTGGTATTTGAGAAAGCGGTGGACGACCTCTGGCAGGTCAAGAGACCCTGGAATAGTTGTACCAGTCCTGCACACGTTTATTTGCTCACGCTGCGAGAGTTAGGCTGGACGCCTACCGCAGCTAGACAGGTCTCTACTGCTCAAGGTGAAGTGGTGGACCTGATGTCTCTATCGCCGCTAATGGTTAGCAGTCTTGCGCAGCATGATGCAGGACACTGGGCGGACAAACGTGCTCTCCTTCTCAGGCCTAAGCTCAACGGAGTCTGGTGTAGGCCTGTTCTGTGGGAAGGGGCCAGGGACCTCCTGAAGATTGGGTGTAAGCAAGTCCGGGGACAGCACCACCAAGCGTGTGTGAAGACTGTGTTCGCTCTAGGTACCTGGACTCAGGCTCGCCTTAAGGACCACGGGCTGGCCGATGACGACACCTGCCAGCTGTGCCACTCCAGCCAGGGTACTCTGTTTCATAGGAGGTTCGAGTGCGAAGCATTTGACGGAGATAGACGTCAATATGTGTCCGCCGCATGTTCCGCTGCTGCGAGAAGGGCCAAGGAATGGGGTCAGGATCTTGAGGAATATGCTGCTGGGGTGCTACCTCATCCTCGAGAACTGATTCCTCCTCCCCTCTCTCTGCCCGAGTGTCAAGTGTTTTGGTTCAACAAGCCAGCCTCTGGTAGGCTCAGTGGTAGAATTTTCACTGATGGATCAGCGATCAACCCCCAGTGCGAAGATATCCGCAGAGCGGGGTGGAGTTTGGTCCAAACCAACGGATTCGGTGATGTGATTTCGGCGGCCTATGGGCCTGTGCCTCGCGAAGAGGCCCCGTGGCAACAGGCCCGTGATGGTGAGGATTACGCCTACAGAATGGCGTCAGAGCTTGTTGATCCGTTTTCCGAAAACACGTTCTTCACGGACTGCCAGGGGACCTTAGGTTGTGTCTGGGACAGGGCCAGCAGTTGCTCTTCCCAGAACCCGAGGGCCCATCTCTGGACCAAGGTTTGGCATGCTTTTGAGAATGGTGTGTCTGCCTTTAAAGTTAAGGGGCATGCTAGTGTAGCTGACGTTCTCAATGGTAGCTGCTCGGAGGCTGATGGGCTAGGTAATAAGCATGCTGACAGATTTGCAAAGCTCGGAGCTGCGTGCCACCCCCTGCCTGAGCAGCTCCTTGCTATCCGTTCTGCGCTGGTTGAGCATCAGAAGGAGCTGCTCAGATGGGGTGGAATGCAAGATGTCACGATGGCTGACAGAGGCTGGCAGGACTCGTCTGGCTTCCCTGAGCCCGTTGAGGTGAGAGGAAGTAGCGAATGCGAGCCCCAGCCCCAGCCATCCAAATCTTCTTCTGCCAGGCAGTTTGCGCGTCTTTGCAAGGAAGGCCGTCGGAGGTGGGCGCCTCGTGCCGATTTCAAGGTGCCGCTGCTTTCCGACACGGCCGATGGTCTGCCTGATGGGGTTTTAAGCGAGACCACCCTCTTGTCCCGTCTGCAGGGCCACAACCTTTGCAAAGCGAAGGTCTTCGTCATGGACGGTGGGAGGGCGGCTGGGAGCGGGTGGGTGATCTGCTGCTTGAAGTGTGGTGGGTATGCATGGTCAGGTGTCATGTCCCTGGCTGGCAAATGTCAAGGCCAGCCGAGGACGAAGGACCTCAGGCGACAAAGATCGAGGTTCCTTCGTGGCGATTTTCCCTCGTGGGCGAAGCAGTATGCTGGGTGGACTGTTTCTGGGCATGGTTCCCCGTCCCCTCTGGACCTGCTGGCCCTAATTAGGGCCGCGCACAGAGGGATCCAGGTCAGGCGTGCTGATGACATCGATCATGCCGCCCATGATCCAGGCCTGTGGGAGGAAAGGTGGGGCACTGCCCAGCTCCTCTCAAGGTATGGCCTGGTGTTCCCCGCTCAGCAGTCACATGTTACTGGTTGAGTGTGTTTTGTGTTTGGGGCGGCTGGCGTTCGACGGCCGCTTCCATTGAGTACAGTACAGTACAGTACAGGAGGAGGTGTCAAATCTAGTGAGGGTGACCGGGTCAGGAGAATTGTGGTAGCGTTATTGCCGAACGTGCGTCGCGACCGACGTGATTGATCATCAAGGTTCGTGTTGGGTGTAGCGGTCCGAGAAAGCTTCGTTATCGTTCCCGTGCTTATCTTCTTCGAGGATTTGCAGGAGGAGGAGGAGGAAGAGGAAGTTGGCATTGACAAGGGAAATGAGCAGACGCCATCGGTGTTAAGCGAAAAGGTCTGCCAAGGCTGGGCCGTGTTTCGCTGGGATGGGGGGGAGTGGTGGCCACCGCAATTCTCGGCTACACGTAATGGCCATGCGCCAGAGTGGCCTTGAGTGCTGGCACGCCAGGGCCCGCAGGTGGTTGAGTCCGACGCGATAGCAGCGGCGTGCGCGCTCGAGTTCGGCCTCCCCGCGGCCCCCGTTACCTTGTACAGTATCCTTCCCTTCGGCCTATCTTTGGCCGCTCTCGCTGGCCGCGCCCCGCTCGCCAAGTGTCTGCGTGGCTCTCCAAGGCCTCTGCATCCTTCTCGTGCGTCCTTCTCGTGCTGGTTGACGATACCCAGCCAGGGTCGATCTTGCGTGTAGCCGAAACTCTTCGGCGAAGCAACTATTCATACAACATCGAGTCCGGATGTTGTCTCCGAACATGGCCTGGCGTTGTCCTTGCGTCGTCCTGCAACCGGTCGGATCTGCGTCGTCTGCCCACGCGTGTGCGCGCCCGGGCTTTCCAGTGGCGTTGAGCGCGACGTGCTTGATTTAGGAGGGGAAAACACGACACGATTAATCGTCGAGTCCCAGGAAAATATGGGAAGTGGGGGAGACGACGAAAATCAAGAAAAGATGGAAGCCATGGGGAATCCTGGGATTTGTGTGCATTTCTTTGTGTGTCCTGGGCCTCTTCATTGATGGACACTCTTCTGTAATGTCGGGTAGCGTGGAACTCCTGAGTCGCATTCGCCCAGAACGCGCCGAGGGGCGACACTAAAAGGGGGATCCCTTCAACTTGTGATATTCGTTGCGTCGAGGGCTGGCGGCGCGGATTGCTTGTAGCGGCCATTCGATTGACGGCCGCTGACAACATGTTCGCCGCTTCCATGCCCGGCCGAAGTCCTCTCGATGCCTGCGCTCGTGTCGGCGCGTGCCCATCTCGATTGTAAGGTTTTTGCAACCGTGCGCCCTGTGAGCGTTCCGCATGCCGTCACGCTCAGAAAGAACCCGTTGCTGTACAAGTAAGTGCTTATCAACAACATCATGTGTACCAAGCATCTCTTGTTGAGCAATAACGGGGTTCATCCAGGGTGGGGAAAGACAAATTCGGACTCTCCTGGGGGTCGCAAACCCTTGCAATGTTTTAGAACTAATGTGCGCGGCGCTAAGGCGAGAGCCACATTTTGAAACCGACCGCCCCCAATCCGTGAAACGCTTGCACAGTTTTAACACGAATGTGCGCCGCGCTAAGGCGATAACCACATTTTGAAAACGGCCCGCCCTCCATCTATGAAACTGTTGCCAAATTTAAAGCTTCAGAGTCATAAATGGTGAGGAAGTCTCAGGCGAAACGCCCGATCCGCCCTAAAAACTGGCCTCGGGGTGCGACAGGGAGAAGTTATGTATAAGGAAAAGGAAGGAGGAGGAGGAGGAGGAGGAGGAGGAGGAGGAGGAGGAGGAGGAGGAGGAGGAGGAGCTGTCTGCGAGGTTTGTCAATGCATGTGTGCGCGTGGGGGGGGGGTGAACTATGGCGGCGTGCTCGATGCCCCCCCCCCCAACACTGTTTCTCAAGCTTCGTGCAGCTTGGATCTGTTGAATTTGCTCCCGTCCAGACCGCGTCCCATTGTGATTAAGGGGAGGAGGAGGAGGAGGAGGAGGAGGAGGAGGAAGAGGAGGAAGAGGAAGAGGAGGAAGAGGAAGAGGAGGAGGCGGAGGCGGAGGCGGACTGAGGGGTGGTCTTCAACAGCTTTGATAGTCTGGACGCTTCGCGTAACCCGATCAGAGACGATGCCCAGACGAGTTGTTCTGATCAGGGATGTGGATGAGCATGCAGTGAAATAAAGGGCTGCGTAAGACGTCATACCCCACGAGGGAGAGATTGGAGGAGGTCCTCCTGGAGGTCCTCCTGGAGGTCCTCCTGCTCCTCCGACTCCTGGAGTCGGAGGAGCAGGAGGAAGAGGAGGAGGTGGAGGAGGAGGAGGAGGAGAAGGAGGAGGAGGAGGAGGAGGGGGAGGAAGAGGGGGAGACGGAGGAGGGAGGAAGGAAGAGGAAAAGGCGGATGATGATGATGAGGAGGAGGAGGAGGAGGAGGAGGAAGAAGGCGAGCAGAAAGGCCAGCAACCCCTTGGATGCTTCTCGGAGTCCTCTTGGGGTGTCGTGAGGGTCTCTTGTCAGACCTGTGGGCCTCTTGGACCCTCTCGGGACCTCTTTGGGGGTCTCTTGGGAGCCTTTTGGGGATATCTTGGGGGCCTTTGGGGGGCCTCTTGGGGCCTCCTGGGCACCTCTCGGGGCCGTCTTGGGGCATCCTTGGGAGCCTCGGGGGCCGTCTTGGAGGAGATCATCAAAGAAGGGGGAGGTTCCAGCCCACCCCAAGAAGGCCAAAATGTAGTCAAAACCTTACGTAGTAACATCGATGACTTTGGTTTTCTCGCCGAAGCCAACCAAGAAAGACCCTCGACACCTCGCGGAACGCCCCCTCCAAACCCAGGAAGAGCGGGTAGGGGGAGGGGTAAACTTTCCCCCGAAGGGAAAGAGGGAAGATGGGAGAGGAAAGTCGCCAAAGCACTGAAGGCCTAAAGGGCTGGTGGGATTCGTTTTGTCGAGGGTCGTAGGTCGCTCGCCGGGGCGCGAAGGTGGCCGCGCTGCGAGCTTCGGGGCCGGGGCCGCAGAGTTGCCCTTCTTCGGGGTGACCGCGCGACAGCGCGAACACGTCCGCACCTCACTCGGCGCGAGGCGCGAAGTCTGGCGGCACCTGCGCCGGTGGGCCGGAAGCGCAGGCGTCTCCTGCGCCTGTCGCACCGTCGTGGTCCCCGCGCGGAGAGGGAGCGTCGGAGCGCAAGTCCGCCGGGGAGCCCTCGGAGGCCCCGGGAGGCTCCCACGGGCGCAGGAAGCCCGGCCGTCGGAGAGAGCCGCGAGCTTCGATCGCCCTCCGCCCTCGATGCTGGTCGCCGATGCCGGTCGGAGGTCGCCCTCGATCCTCGATCGCCCTCGATCCTCCATCGCCCTCGACCCTCGATCCTCGATCGCCCTCGAGCCTCGATCGCCCTCGAGCCTCGATCTTCGATCGCCCTCGATCCTCGATCGCCCTCGACCCTCGATCTTCGATCGCCCTCGAGCCTCGAGATCGCCCTCGGGCCTCGTGTGCTGGTCGCCGGTGCTGGTCGGAGGTCGCCCCGAGCGCGACGCCGCCCGAGGGGCTTCCATATGGGCCCCGCAAGGGGGCGGCGCGCGGGGCCGCGGCCCCCCGCGGCGGGGGGGGGCCGAGCGGCCCCGCACGGCCCTCGGCCGAGAGCTCCGGCAGAGGACCGGCGGCCGGAGGAGGAGCCCCGAGCGCGGGGCCCGAGGAGTCCGGGGCCGAGCTCTGGGCCTCTAGAGGTGGGGTCGGAGGGAGGAGGGGGAGGGGGAGGAGGGAGGAGGAGGAGGAGGAGGAGGAGGAGGAGGAGGAGAGGAGGAGGAGGAGGAGGAGGAGGAGAGGAGGAGGAGGGAGGAGGAGGAGGAGGAGGAGGAGGAGGAGGAGGAGAGGAGGAGGGAGGAGGAGGGGAGGAGGAGGGAGGGAGGAGGAGGAGGAGGAGGGAGGAGGAGGAGGAGGAGGAGGAGGAGGAGGAGGAGGAGGAGGAGAGAGGGAGGAGGAGGAGGGAGGAGGAGGGAGGAGGAGGAGGAGGAGAGTGCGTGCCCGACGCCTGCCAGGCCTCTCAGATGGGAGGATCAGACCGCATCGCCGATGCATCGGCGATGCGGCGCGATGCGGAGCCCGACTTCGCCACGCCGACGGCGCCAATGCATCGCCGACGTCGACGATGCATCGCCGATGCGGCGTGATCCTTCGACACCATCTACTCCGACCCCATCTAGGAGGCCTCTAAGACGGGCGCAGAGCCCGCGGACGCCTATTTGGCACGACGGGCATCGACGGGCGGCCAAGCGCGCGCTCGGCTCGTATGCTCAGAGTTCCGTTCCCAGTTAGATGCCTTGCGCACGCCTTCCTTCCGACGCCGTGACTGTTCTGCTTCTGGGGATGGGTTGTCCACAGGATGGGCGCGCGCGAGCGCGAATGTGGGCCTGTGGTGCAACATCCGTTTACACACGGGGAGTGCATCATAAGAAGTGCACGTTGTCTAATTCAGTGGGAAGCTCACTGGCGTGTCGCCTTCCAAGGGGGATCAGTGGCAGGAGCTGCAGCTGCTGAGGCAGCAACGGTGCAGATGCACGAAGCCGCCGCACGCCTGCGATTACGATAAAAAGTAGGGCAGCGGGGCAGCAGCAGGAACAGGGACACTTAGAACAGCAGCAGCGGCAGCAGCTGCACCAGCAGTAGTTGCTGTGCTGATAGCCGTGCCACCTCTAGCACTCGTCGCCCTGTGCGGTTGTGAAGGCCCTCGCCACGGATGCCTTGGTGGTGGCCACAGACCTCACTTCCCGCAAGGGGTTGTACAACAGGACGGACTTTCTTGCGGCGCTTGCTTCGCGTCCGACGCAGCGTCATCTCCTTCTCTCTCTCCCTCTCTTTCTCTCGCTCGTCTTCTGCATCATGGTACATCACCCAATCACTGAGATAACGGCAGATGTGTTTCGTCAAGTCGATTACAGTTCAAGCAATACCCAGTTTTCTCCAGCCCTCCACAAGCCCCGCCCCTCCTCATTCTTGCTCCCAACTCCTGCCCCCACTCACTCACGCTCTCGCTTGGCAGCGAGCGAGGGGGGGAAGTGAGAACGGGTGGGCCTTCTCAGAAGGCTCGGAAATCACCCGGCCTCCTGAGAAGGTTTCTAAGCCTTCCCCGAAGACATAGAAACCTTCTCTGAAGGCGTGAGCGCTTCTGAGAAGCCCCGCCGCCTTCTGAGAAGGCCTTCTCCGTCTCACTTCCCCCCCTCGCTCGCCGCCGACTCGCGGATAGGATGGGGGAGTAGGGCGGGCGGACCGCGATGGGACGGGGAGGGAGAGGGAGAGGGGGGGGGGTACGCTGCGACGCGGAGGGAGGGAGGCGGAGAGGGGGGGGGATGCGACGACGACGTGGAGGGAGAAGCAGAGACGGGGGGGGGAGTGTGTCTTGGCATCGCTCGAACGTTTGCATGCTTCCCTCGGCGAGGGCCATCGAGAAGCATCTTGGATCATCCTGCGAAAAACACACGCACGAAATTGAACAATGCAGGGGGAATGGACGTCCGAGCGATGGCGAGGTATGATGGGGGGACGACGACGCAACGAGGAGGGAGAGGGAGAGGTGGGGGACGACGCGATAGGGAGCGAGAGGGAGGGGGGAGAAGAGCTCGGCAGTGCGAGAAGAAGGGACGGAAGGGAAGGGATCCTGGAATTCTGTGCAGCTGCCTCGCAGTGTCGCAAGATACATCGGCGCTACGACAGTTTTGACCTCTGTTTGTGCTCCCACCAAGACAAGTCTTAGGCAGGAGCACCATGGCGAAATTCGAGCTGGAGAAGTGCCGACCTTCATTTTCGGGAAGTCCTGGGCGGGAGCGCCATGTCGACATCGAACCCGAAAGGCTCCGAAGTCTGTCTCGGAGGAAGCCTCCTCCCCCTCCTCCCTCCTCCTCCCTCCTCCCCCCTCCTCCCCTCCTCCACCTCCTCCTCCTCCTCCTCCTCCTCCTCCTCCTCGGACGGGAGCGCCATTTCGGGGGCCCCGCGGCCTGACGAGCCCATTTCAGCGTCTCTTCTCCTGTAGCGGGCGCAACGCCATTGAAGACGTGTTACGGGGCCCCCGTCGCCCAGCGGGAGGCGCTGCACTTTGGGCAGAATCCTCTCAGCGGTGAGGTATTTGCAGACTTTGAGGGCCCTGACGCCCCCGATCCGGCAGGGTTGGGAGCCTCGAGCGGCGCATCCGATCCTTCGCCGCACCCTTGACCTGCCGACCTCCCCGCCCTTGCTGGTGCCTCCCTCCGACCCCGTCGGGACTGAGGACGCGTGGGGGGGTCCCGAGCTCTGCTTCCAGAGACGGGAACTAGGGGGTGGCGTGTTCTTCTCTCTCTCCCCTCTCTCTCTCTCTCTCTCTCCTTTCCCCGCTCTCGTGCGCGCCGTGCTCAGCAAGACGTCAAGCAAACGGCCCTTGCCACATCATTGCCACTGCCTGGTGACGAGGGATTGGCCGCCAGGCCTGCTCCGCGCCTGCAGGAACTCGTGGCCCGAACTCGGGCGCTGACAGAGTTTCCGTCCTTAGGAGGCCCGCCGCGACCGCAGGCACCTTGGCTTGCACGTCCCCCTTTGACAAGCACCACGGCGGCAGCGGCGGCAGGTGCAGCAGTGGCCTTGGTTTCCGCTCGGGCAGGGGAGGGAGGAGGGGGCGGGGAGGAGGACGAGGAGAAAGAGGTGGAGGCATGGGCGGAAGAGGAGGCGGTGGAGCAGGCGGAAAAGGAAGGAGCACGTGGGTGAGGAGGAAGAAGAAGAGGAGGAGCATGATGCGAATTGAGCTTCACCGTTTGCGAGAAGCCATCTCCATTCGTCGCTCCCCGCTTTCCATGTTCCTCGACCCTCCTGGCAAGTTTGGAACGATCCCAGTTGCTGGATAACGGATCGTTCAAGATTGAGGTACCCACGCGGTGTCAGAAGCGAATGTCCACGTCGACGCGACTGGAACCAGCCGCACCCGCGGGCTGAGGCCCCTGCTGCCAATCCGTGCCAAACTGGCCGCCAGGTGGGATGTCGACGAGGGAAAATCGGTGGTTGGCATGACTCTGTGTGGCTTGGAATCGAAAATGAGGGTCGAAGGTTGTCCTCTGACGGAAGGGGGATCAGCAAGGTTACCACAGTCTACCTAATTCAAGAAGCTTACGCCATTCCGCCGACCCCCACGAGGAGGGAGGAACGCATGGAAGTTGCTTGGTGGTTTCCTGTTTTACCCTGCATGCCTCTGAGGGGCCTCTTGGGGGTGGTCTTGGGAGCACCCGGGTGGCTTTGGGGGGGCCTCCTGGGGGGGCCTCTGGAGCGGGCGCCTCGGGGGCCTCTGGGAGGCCCTCGAAGCCGTCGTGGGTGGAGAGGCTCGAGCTGTCAGTTCGTGTTGCCCCTCTCCGGCGCCTCTTGGGCCGGGACCGTTTGGGAGCCCTCTGAGGCCGTCTCGAGGCCTTCTTGGGTGGAGAGGCTCGAACTGTCAGTTCGTCTTGCCCCTCTCCGGCGCCTCTTGGGCCAGGACCGTCTGGGAGCCCTCTGAGGCCGTCTCGAGGCCTTCTTAGCTGGACGCCCGAAATGGGTACGGAAAGAATGCCCAACAGCAGTTCCTGTTCATTTTGAACAGGACTCGCTGTCCGCGCCGCCGCGGCCTGTGTCCACTTGAGACAGAAGACCGCCTGCCCAACAGCGGCCGCTGTTGGTTTGGGACAACATTTGTCGTTGGGCATTGTACCCATTCTTTCGGTACCCATTTCGGGTATCATTCTTGGGGACCTCGTGGGCCGTCTTGGGGCGATCTCGGGTGCCCTTCGGGCCGTTGGGCCGCCGTCGAGACCAGGAAGGCGATTGGATGTCAAAAGTATACGTTTCCTCAGGGAATGGGACGATCTTTGCTTCTTGGGACCCTCTCGGCGGTCCTCTGGGAGGCTCCTGGACCGTCTTGGAGGCCTCGCTGGCCGCCTTGAAGCCATCTTGGACCGTCGTGGGGCTACCCTGGGCCGTTTCGACGCTCTCTTGGACTGTCTTCGCGCCCTTTCTTGGGTCTCTGGGGCCGTCTTGGGTCTTTTTGGAGGCTCCAGAGGCCCCAGGGGCGCGTTGACGAGTTCGTCCCCCCACCCCGCTGACGAGTTCGTGCTGTGCTGAATACGTGGCCCCTTGAGCTCTATAGGCGCCCTTCCCGAGGGCCAGTTTTTCGTCCTGGCTCTTTTCCGGAGGAATTTCTTCCCGTATGGAAGGTTTGCGTCGTGTCGACTGTCGGCGGCCCAGCCGCCGGCGTTCACCGTTGAACGCCGCTGGCGACCCAGAATCGGTCGATGTTGAACGGCCTGACGTTTCTGAAATGGCCGCTCGTTCGTTCAGGGGTGAACCACCCCCGCGGTGTCAGACACCAGCGCCGAAGGCGGCACGACACGAGCCCGCCGCAGGCCCACAAGAGATGAAAGGCCTGGCCGGCCCGCCCGCCTGGGCGGCCGCCTGTGGCACGCCGCCCCGCCCCGCCCTCTGCCGCCGCTCCCGAGCACTGACAGCGTCCTGGCCGCGCTCGCCGGCGAGCACGCGGGGGAGGTGCAGGCGGGCCTGCTCCGCCCCCCCCCCGCCGCCGCCGCTCCTGGCCGCCGCTCGGCGCCGCCCCGCGGCCTCCGCCCCGTCGGCTCCGCCCCGTCGGCTCCGCCTGGCCCTCCAGCTCCGCCCGGCCGGCTCCGCCACGCCGGCTCCGCCCAGCCGGCTTCGCCCCTGCCGCTCCTCGGGGGCGCGCTTGGAGGCATCCGCGTCCTCCTCCTCCTCCTCCTCCTCCTCCTCCTCCTCCCTCCTCGCCTCCTCCTCCTCCTCCTCCTCCTCCTCCTCCTCCTCCTCCTCCTCCTCCTCCTCCTCCTCCTCCTCCCCCTCCTCCTCCTCCCTCCTCCTTCCTCCTCCTCCTCCTCCTCCTCCTCCTCCTCCTCCTCCTCCTCCTCCTTCCTCCTCCTCCTCCTCCTCCTCCTCCTCCTCCACCTCCTCCTCCTCCTCCTCCTCTTCCTCCTCCTCCTCCTCCCCCTCCTCCTCCTCCTCCTCCTCCTCCTCCCCTCCTCCTCCTCTCCTCCTCCCTCCTCTCCTCCTCCTCCTCCTCCTCCTCCTCCTCCTCCTCCGCCTCCTCCTCCTCCTCCACAGTTTGACAATACGAATGCTAGTCTCCTGCCTCCCTTGATGACGTCAGGAAGATGTTCGGCCCCCCTCCGCGTACAGTGTTTTTGTTTACACCGGATTACGGGGAGCTTGGTTTTCGTTTGGTTTCTGAAGCGCTGGCCTCATTTTCGGCCTTCCGCTCGTTCCGAATCATGCTCCCGCTGCAGCGCTGGCCTCGTTCCGCGCTTCCACTCGTTCCGAATCGTGCTCCCGCTGCAGCGCTGGTCTCATTTCCTGGTTTCCAGATGTGTTTTTAATAATCCGATTCCGTTCGGTCCTTTAAAATGTTGCTCCCGCTGCAGCGCTGGCCCCATTTCTGCGCCTCTGGTTGTTCCAAAACGTGTTTCCGCTGCAGCGCAGTCGTTTTCGATCCTTCCAAATAGGCCCCCAATTTAGAACATTGTCTTCAGAAAAAACATTGCAAGTGATTGCGCATCCGGTGCCGATTCGTTAAGTTTTTGGGCCGCAGAAGGCCCCCCCCCTCCCCCAACTTCGGGGCGGCGGCGTTTGGAGGAAGTATCAAGCGGGAGCCCCGCTTCTGCTTTCAGAAGGCGATGTTGCAAGCAGGGCCAGCGGGTGCTCTCCATCAGCCCCGCCTTGTGGGGAGCTTTTCGCGGAACTTGGAGCAGCGACTCCAGACCAGCCCCGACCTTTCGAAGAGTATCCACTTACCCTCCAAGGAACCCGGTGCCCTGCCATATTTTTTTCGTCAGCGGCGAGGCGGGGGGCACTATTTAACTAGCGAGTTGGCCGGCGAGCAAGGAAGGGGGGGGACGGCCGAGAGGAAGAAGGGACGCTCAGGCGCCGAAGAGTTCGACGATGAACAGCCGGGGAGAGGCAGCAGCAGCAGCCAGGGGCGTAGGGCCAGAGCGCGGTGGGCGGCCGTGGCGAACCACGGTGGCAAAGGTGGCGGGAGGGCGGCAGCCAGCGGCGTTGGCGGAGGGCGCAGTGTGACACCACGAACGGCGTACCGCGGCGCGCCGGGAGAAGGCACAGCACTGAGCCGTGCGGAGGCGGGAGCAGCGGCCAGATCGCTGGCAGTGACAGGGGTACTGCGGCGTGACCGCCCAGGGCCGGGTGGCCAGGGGCCAGGAGAGGTCGGGCGGGAGGCGGCGGGCGAACCTTGCCAGGCGCCCGCAGGCGGCGGGGCGGAACAGCAACACGGGGAGGAGGAAGCGCGGGGCAGCCAGAAGGTGGCAATGCAGCCAGAGGGCTGGTAGACATGCCCTGCCATGGCATGCTGTGCGGTGTTTGTTTGTTTTGCGTTGCTGTGCGATGTCGTGCTTGCGTTGCCACGCTTTGCGATGCAATGCTTCACTACTCAATGCCACGCCATGCTATGACATTATACGCTATGCCGAGCTCTTCGCCATGCCATGCCGTGCTCTACGCTGCATCGTGCACATTCTCGCGATCATTGCCCTGCTCGACATCCGACTGTGCGAATAGAGAGGATCTCTACGCCATGGTAAGGGATGGGAGGGAGGGGTAGGACGTAAGATATGACGCGAGCGCACCTAGCTTGTCCCCCTGCCCCTCCACCTCCTCTTCCTCCTCCTCCTCCTCCTCGTGCAAGGACGTGGAACAGTTCAGGCCCACGCCGCCGCTGCTGATAAGACCCGAAGCGCTCTTACCTCTGCCTCGTCCTCGCCCTCCTCGCCCTGGCGTCAGCCCTCCTCGACCCAGGCCGCCCGAGCTGGGCCCGCGCCGGTGGGGTCGGAGGATCGCGCCGCATCGCCGAGTGCAGCGGCCAGTCGGCGCGATCCGCAACCCGATGGTCTGGCCTCCCTTCCAGACCCCCGACGCCATGTTTTGTTCACATCGTCGACCCCCAGAGGTCTGGACCCCTTCCCCAGGACCGGCTCTGACGGTTCCGAGGGCCCCCGGAAACCGAAAGTAGCGAAAAATTTCCCGTCGTGTTTTTTTCAGAACTCGAGGGGGTCTCGGGTCTCTGCCCTCCTGGCATCGCCGATGCATTGGCGACGCGGGGCGATCCTCCGACCCCATGCCCGGTCGAGCCCCAGGCGGGCGGCCTCCGCTCGAGCCGCTCGCCCCGATTTGCCTGCCCCTCGCCGCGCCCCGGGGGAGAGCGAGAGGAGCGGGCCTGCTGGAGTCGCTGTCGGCCGAGGGGGGGCTTTCCAACCATACCTCTTCGGTCGCAAATCATGGGGGCCTGGTATGCCCTCTCAATTCAGTCTTGAGCGTCGATCAGCGTCTGGGAGTCGATGAGACAGCGCCGACTCAGCATCGATCAGCGTCGATCGCCGTCGATTCGCAAGAGCCGACGAGATGGTATCGGAGGCTCCCAGGAGTTGCCACCTACGTCTTAAGCAGCGGACAGAGGTCCAAAGCGGCCGCGGGCGCCCACAATCGGGTATAGCCAGGACCCCGGGTGAGGGGACCCGGTCATTGGTGGTAGGGCCCGGGGGCCCCTCAGCTGGCCGGATTCTTTCGACCAGGTCTGCCGTAACTGGTGATCTCTTGGGCGACGACAGTTCCGGTGAGTGGAAATGGGTCGGGCGAAGGGAACTATGCACATGCACCGATCTTGGCAAGGCCCATTCTTGACCCAGGATCGGTGCATATACCTTCCTGGCCAAGGTAGGAGGGCGTATGCACCGATCCTGGGCTCAGGGTGGGCCTGGCCAGAATCGGTGTATGTGCATAGCTCTCTTTCCTCTAATGGGGCGGGGGGCCGCGCCCCCGGTGCAAATCTCCACACCAGGTGCCACGGAGCCCAGTGCTGCCCACGCCCGACACGGGGCGGCAACCTTGGGCGGCAGCGGGCGCCCACGCCCGGGCGTGCGGAGCCCCGTGTGCCTGCCTGCGCGGCGGGTCCTGCGGCGAGCTGCGCGGGGGGCTCCGAGACACGGTGCCGTTTTTGATGCATGCTCCGCGTGCGGATCATGTACTAAACACGCAGGGAGTTGGTCTTAGAAACAACGATGAGTTCATGTGTAGATTTGTTTATATTATAAACTCATCATGAATTAAACGCCCTATATCTTTCAAAATCCTATGTATAATTATCCCGGCAAAGCAACCTAACAGCGATGTGTAGAAGCATATCTGAAAGCATTCCCCTTAAGATTCAGATGAAAATCCAGTTGTAGAATTCTGCTGTTCTCGCAGTCGTAGTCGCATTCGCGATGACAGTCGCAGCGGCAACGGCAGTCGCAGTCACAGCCTCAGCCTCAGCCTGCCTCAGCCTCAGCCTCAGCCTGCCTCAGCCTCAGCCTGCCTCAGCCTCAGCCTCAGCCTGCTTCAGCCTCAGCCTCAGTCTGCCTTCAGCCTCGGCCTCAGCCTCAGCCTGCCTCAGCCTCAGCCTGCATCAGCCTCAGCCTCAGCCTCAGCCTGCCTCAGCATCAGCCTGCCTCAGCCTCAGCCTCAGCCTGCCTCAGCCTCAGCCTCAGTCTGCTTCAGCCTCAGCCTCAGTCTGCCTCAGCCTCGGCCTCAGCCTCAGCCTGCCTCAGCCTCAGCCTGCTCAGCCTCAGCATCAGCCTGCCTCAGCATTCAAAATGTGGCCCAGGAATGGAGTTCTGGGAACTAGAAGAACACGAAGTGGCCTACAGTTGGCTCCGGGCATCAAAATGTGGCCCGGGAATGGAGTTCTGGGAAATCGAAGAGCACGAAGTGGCCTACAGTTGGCTCCGGGCATCCAAAATGTGGCCCGGGAATGGAGTTCTGGGAAGTCGAAGAGCACGAAGTGGCCTACAGTTGGCTCCGGGCATTCAGAATGTGGCCCGGGAATGGAGTTCTGGGAGGTCGAAGAGCACGAAGTGTGTGACTGTTTGCGAAAACGAGTGCGGCGGCAGCCGCGGCGGCAGCCTGTCCGGGTCCCGCCCAGACCCCCCTGAGGAGTCATGATGCTATCTTTTGATACCACCAGAAACCTATCAGCAAGAGCTGTTAGGTGAAAAAGTGCGTAAAGTTATCCATACATTTCGTGCATAAAGCGCAACGATGAGTTCGTGCATCAATTTATCCATAACTTAATCATGAATTACAAACCCTATATTAAAAATAATCCTATGTTTTAAAAACTGCCCTGTAGGGTGGCGCGGTGGGCTTCGCGGTTGGCCGTGTGGCGGGGCGGGCGGGGCCGGCCGCGGAGCGCTCTGGCCCTTGAGCCGCCCACCTTCCCTAATTGTCCTTCGCCCGCGTCCCTCCTCCATCCTCCCGCATGGTTCTGCACGAGCGAGATGGGCACGGAAAGAACAGGCACAATGCCCAACAGCAGTCCCTCTTCATTTTGACCAGGACTCGCTGTCCGCGCCGCCGCGGCCTGTGCCCATTTGGGGCAGAAGGCCGCCTGCCCAACAGCGGCCGCTGTTGGTTTGGGACAACCTTTGTCGTTGGGCATCGTACCCATTCTTTCGGTACCCATCTCGGGTGTCCAAAATGGTGGTGCAATTCGGCCCAACGGTACCCCCATTCATGACGAACCAACAACACGCACCCATACCCATAGAGGGGTCGGAGAGGGCTATGGGTGCGTGCTGTCGGATGGGGGTCCCCGCTCGAACGGGAGCGTTCCCCAGGGTCCGACGACCCGCACCCATACCCATAGCCAGCCCTCCTCCCCACGACCCCCCTGTGGGTATGGGTGTGTGTGTGTTGCTCGTTCGTCAATTCATGCCTTTCATCGCCAGCGCAGTCACCTGCCCAACAGCGGCCGCTGTTGGTTTGGGAAAACTTTTGTCGTTGGGCATTGTGCCGATTCTTTCGGTACCCATCTCGGGTGTCCAAGATGGTGGTGCAATTCGGCCCAACGGTAACCCCATGCATGCCTTTCGTCGCCAGCGCTGTCGCCCTCTGCCTCGCTGCCGACGCCAAGCGCGCGGTGGCGTGCTGGGTGGGTTGCGCGGTGGTGGCCCCCACGGTCCGCCCGGGCTGCTCCGGCCCCTCGAACGCTCGGAGCTCGGCGGGCGCGCGTGCCCGCCCGAGGCACACGGCGGATGCCTCGGGCTGCTCGCCAGGCCGTCCTATCGTGATCTCGCCCATCTGCGACCCGTGGTCTGCCACGTCGCGAAATTGCTTCCCCATTGCCGCACAGGGTGGCTTCCATCTTCCACTTCGGGAACCCATCGGGAGCAGAACGCGAGAAGGCCAGCATCATGTTATCATGCTCGTTGAAACGAAACATCGGAGCTCTCGAGTGTTCGGCCTCTTCAGGGCATCCTTGAGGGGGGGGGGCGTGACCAGTTCGAACCGTCTTGTGGCAATTTCGGGGCCTGTGGGAAGCATGTTGGAGGCTATCTAAGTATCGGGTTGGAGAGCCCAGTAGCCGTGTGGAACGCGTCCTCGAAGCCTCGTTGGTGACGTCCGTGGCCGTTTGTCAGTTTGTCATGCCGCGCCCAGGAGCTTCGTCAGCCCACCGCTGGACCGCGAAGACGGTCCCGAGACGGTCTTGGTACTTGCTGGATCCCTGGCGCGAAGTGGTATGATTGACGTGTCGCCACCTTTTGCCGGATATTCTAGCACTTTGGCCCGCTGGGCCGAGGATCTCGGCGCATTGATGACCTCGGAGAGCAAGCTTCGAACACGAACAGGCCTTGGGTAGCCTCGGATAGCCTCGGGCAGCTTTCGATTTCCTCGGATGGATGCGGATCGGACTTGGCATGGATCGCCAAGCCAAAGGGGCAGAGAAGAACCCCTCCCGTCTGATACTGTTCCCATGCTCCACCATTGAGCACATTGGTCAGGCCCGTGCGTATGGGGCAGTACTGCCCGTGACCACCAGCGCGGAGGCGAGCCTGGGTCTGTGCAAGTACTGGCAGGATATGCGCAGATGCATGTTTGTATGCACACGTACACGTGCAGGTAATGAAACCAGGGTGCGCACCTTCGTGCGCGTGGACGTATAAGCTCTCGCGCGCGGGGGTGAGCGCGTGTCCGCAAGGAGCGCAGGTGGGTGGCGTGCTGCCTCGGGCTGCTGGGCAGGCTGGACTCTCGGCGGCGGGCGCCGGGGGGCAGCGAGAGGGAGGCGGCGTTCCTCGGGAGGCGGTGCTGCCTCCCAGAAGCCCTCCAGCCTCGGAGGCGCAGTCCTGCGTCTTCTCGGGGAAGGCTCAGCACACCTCCGAGAGGGCCGGGGGCTCACCACCCACCAAACCACCCCAACCCGACCCGAAGGCTACAATGTGCCCTCCATTTCCAGTGGGGGGGGGGTCGGGGAACACTGCAATTATAGCCGGAGTGCAGTATCCCCAAACAGGGTTTTTAGACCCACTGCGGTTTCCAAGGTCGATTGCGTGCCCGCCTAGTGCGGGCTGGCATGGCATGTTAAAACATGCCTCCTCCTCCTCCTCCTCCTCCTCCTCCTCCTCGTCCACCTCCTCTTCATCCCGAAAGGCATCTCGGAACCCAGAGTTGCGAGGATGTCTCCAGCGTAACGGGCTGGACCACCTCGCGCGCGGCATTTCGGACCCCAGAGTTGCGACGATGTCTCGGGCGAAACGTGCTGCGAGGAAGTCTCAGGCGAAACGGGCCGGACCACCTCGAGCGCGGCGTCTCAGAGCTCCGAGTTGCGGGGGCCTCCTGGTGCCTCCTGGGGCCTCCTGGGGACCTCCTGGGGCTTCCTCCCGGGCCTCCTGTGGCCTCCTGAACTCCACCTGAGGTTTCCTGAAGCATCTTGGGGCTCCCAGGGGGGATATCTAACCTGTGGCCGTTTGGGCCTCTCCAAATACAGGGGGGGGCCACAGGAGCAGGAAAAATCAACGAATCGACACCGGATGTGTATTAACTTGACACGTTCTGATAGAGGGCCTCCTGGGGCCTCCTGGGAGCCTCCTGGGAATCTCCTGCGGACCCCTGGGGCCTGTCCTGGGCGTCCTGCGGCCTCCTGAAGCTCTCTGGGACCTCCCCCTCCTCCTGCCTGCTCCCTCATGCACATCATCCGCCTCCTCCTTCTCCCTTCCATCTCCTCCTCCTCCTCCTCCTCCTCCTCCTCCTCCTCCTCCTCCTCCTCCTCCTCCACCTCCTCTTCATCGCGAACGGCATTTCGGAGCCTAGAGTTGCGAGGATGTCTCCAGCGTAACGGGCTGGACCACCTCGCGCGCGGCATCTCGGACCCCAGAGTTGCGACGATGTTTCGGGCGAAACGTGCTGCGAGGAAGTCTCAGGCGAAACGGGCTGGACCACCTCGAGCGCGGCGTATCAGAGCTCCGAGTTGCGGGGGCCTCCTGGTGCCTCCTGGGGCCTCCTGGGGACCTCCTGGAGCTTCCTCCTGGGCCTCCTGTGGCCTCGTGAACTCCACCTGGGGTTTCCTGAAGCCTCTTGGGGCTCCCAGGGGGGATATCTAACCTGTGGCCGTTTGGGCCTCTCTAAATGGAGTGGGGGGGGGCACAAGAGCAGGAAAAATCAACGAATCGACACCGGATGTGTATTAACTTGACACGTTCTGATAAGCGGCCTCCTGGGGCCTCCTGGAAGCCTCCTGGGAATCTCCTGGAGACCCCTGGGGCCTGTCCTGGGCGTCCTGCGGCCTCCTGGTGCCTCCTGGGCCTCCTGGGGACTCCCTGGAGCTTCCTCCTGGGCCTCCTGTGGCCTCCTGAACTCCACCTGAAGTTTCCTGAAGCATCTTGGGGCTCCCAGGGGGGATATCTAACCTGTGGCCGCTTGAGCCTGGCCAAATGGAGGGGGGGGGCACAAGAGCAGGAAAAATCAACGAATCGACACCAGATGTGTATTAACTTGACACGTTCTGATAGAGGGCCTCCTGGGGCCTCCTGGGAATCTCCTGGGGGCCCCTGGGGCCTGTCCTGGGCGTCCTGCGGCCTCCTGGACCTCTCTGGGGCCTCCTGAGGCTCGCAGGGTCCCATGGAGGATATGTAACATGTGGCCTTCTGGGCCCCCAGGCTGGACCACCTCTTGCGCAGCATCTGAGAGCTCAGAGTTGCGAGAATATCTTGTGCGAAACAGGCCGGACCACCTTGCGCACGGCATCTCAGATCTCAGAGTTGCAAGGATTTCTCAGGCGAGACGGGCCGGACCACCTCGCGCAGGGCATCTCAGAGCTCAGAAGTTCGAGGATGTCTCAGGCGAAACGGGCCGGACCACCTCGCGCGCGGCATCGGGGAGATCAGAGTTTCGAGGATGTCTCAGGCGAAACGGGCCGGACCACCTCGCGCGCGGCATCTTGGAGCTCAGAGTTGCGAGGATGTCTCAGGCGAAACGGCCCGGACCACCTCTCGCGCGGCATCTGGGAGCTCAGAGTTTCGAGGATGTCTCAAGCGAAACGGCCCGGACCACCTCTCGCGCGGCCTCTCAGAGCTCAGATTTAGGAGGATGTCTCAGGCGAAACGCTCAATCCCGGACAACTCAGAAACGAGAGTTGTGAGGATGTCTCAGGCGAAACGGGCCGGACCACCACATTTGTTTGAGGATGTCTCTGCTTAGCTTTCCCTCGGCCAGAATTAGCTTCTATCACAACAGCACCCCGTTCAGCAAGCTGTTTGGGGAAAAACACGTGGGACCCGTACCCCCCCAAGCCCAAAATTCGGTCCAAATGCGGGTCTTCGGGTTGGGTTGGGGTGGTCTGGCAGGTAGTCAGGGACTTCAGAGCCTTCTGAGAAGGCCCGCCCCTCCTCGCTTCGCCCCCCTCGGGCTCGCCGCCGAGGTTCGTTTGCGGCAGCGGGGTCATGGCTGTCCGTGCGGCCTGCGGTGGCGCCGCCGCTCTCGCCTCATGCGTGCCGCGTCGCCGGGCAGCGGGTGCTCGGGGCTGAGCTGCACACGGCTGATTCCGACGGTTATCCCTTGACGATTTCGCCGCATAAGAGTGGATACATCGTTCTCTGGTTGAGAAAGAGAGACTGTGCCATTTTGTGTGCACGCAGTCTTTCCTATGATTGTACAGTCCACCAGTGTTCTGACCTTGATGGTGGTTACTGGTTGGTGGATTGCTTGTTCCAGCCGCTGCAGGTTTGTTTTCACCACAGCGGATCAGGAACAACAGTTATAGAAGCAGTGGAGCAACTCGCGGTATTTATTGTGTCCACGCCGTTGCAGCGCTCCTCGGTGAGTTGCCCCTCCGTGCGGTACTGCCTGAGCTGGTCATCTGTACAATGGAGATAGTCAAAGCCAGGTCAGCGCTCTCATGCGGGAACCAGTGTGTTCCAACGCATGTATGCGTGCGTGTATGCATGAAAGTTCGCGTGCGTATGCGCGTTTGCTCCGCATCCTTATATGCGTGTGTGTGTGAGTGTGTGTGTGTGTGCATGTCAGTACTTCCTACAGGTATCTGCACACGTCAACGTGACTGCGACAGTGAATTCATACCAGAGAAAAGTCTGCATCAACGCAATCCCCAGTTTCACGATGACGCCGAGTGGAAGAATTATCCCGGCGTGGGCGACGCGCTGAAGCAGTTGAGCAAAGGGGAGGAGCTCTCAGCCGCCGCGATCATTTACGAGCCCTCGCTTTCGATGGCAATCGGTACCTCATAATGATAGTATATCGTTGTCTTCCAATCGTACGAAGAAGCAGCTGAGCCGATGCCAATAGAGCCAATGGGTATGCAATGTGTTTCCTGTTGGCCCACTGCATCTGTGTTTGCTGAACATCTTCGATGATGCGGCATTGCTCTCACTGAGATGTCCACCCTGCCCTGACGGTCAAGGGTGGCCTGTGTTCATCTCGTGCGCGTGTGTGGAAACGTCGCAGCATAGACATTCTAGAATATGTGGCTGTGTATGTAAGCTGGTGCAGGTTTGCAGGGTGAGCAGGAGAAGGAGGTGGAGGTGGATGACGACAAAGGTGGATGCGGACGGGGCGGAGGATAAGGGGGAAATGGAGGGAGACAAATATGGAGACACAACTACGGTGAGGAGGAGGATCTGTTGATGTTGGGGAAGAAGCATCTTACTCATAAGCATTCTTACATTTGTTTCACTCGGCAGGAGTGCATGACCGTCGCTGTCTGCATGCCCAAGGCCGCCGATGCATTTGCTTAAAAGACTCCGTAGAACACTGTTAGCCTAGCTTCACCGCCATGTTGGGGGCAGGGCAATGATTGAAGTATCCTAGCCACGCTGATGCATTTGCCGCCGCAAATCACCGCAAATGTCGCTCCCGCTCCAAGCTCAGCATGAGAAGAAGGAACAGCCTTGATATGATGATGAGGCGGGGATACGGATCGCCGCAACCCGCGCTGCTGATGCTTCTCTTTTCATCATTACACTTTCGGGGGCCGCAACACCGACTCTTGCTGCTCCTCTCGTTGCTGTAACGCCTCCTCTTGCATACACCACCATATCTCTCGCTTTCTCTCTCTCTCTCTCGGTCGCTCTCTTTCTCTCTCGTTCGATCTCCCTCCGCTCCCTCCCTCTCCCTCTCCCTCTCTCTCTTTCTCTCTTTCTTTCTCTCTCTCTCTCTCTCTCTCTCTCTTAGGTTTTGCACATCCCCCCTCTCTATACCAGCTTGTCCCATCATGGTTCCCGCCGTCTATATGCGACGCGCTCGCCTGAGGCGTTTGGCTTCGTTTGCGTAGCATACTCGCTCTGTCTCTTTCCCTTTTCGCTCGCTCTCTCTCTCTGTCCCTCTTCCTCTCTCCAATGTATGGAATACACAAAACTAAATGCCTGCACGCGCAACTGTCTATATGAGTATATGCACATGTATATGTTAGCCAGCGTGTGCCCCAGGCTGAGTGTACCTGGCAATCTATAGGTGGTGCAATATCGGTGGTTCAGCTCGCCATGCCGAACTTGAATTTGTCAGCTCCGCTTCTCGTGCAATCACCCCACCAACCCACCCGCAACCTGGCTTACAAAGCCCATGCTGTTGCGAGTTCGATGGCTGCGTGGCGCTGGCTGGCACGACGTTGCAGCAGTCCTAGCACGCGCATGCTCGCGCGCAGAGCGGCCAGCTAGTCTGGCACGGCCGACGCGGCCGCGGTGGCGCTGACCAACCGGGACTTCCAAGCGGGTGCCGCAGGCCGTGCTAACGCGCGGGCGCTTCAGTGCGAGTCGGTGACTGGGGCAGGCGCGGTAGCATAGCGACGTCGGTAAAAAGGCAGACAAGATGATGATAGTAGCGGTGCTGGTGATAACGATGACGAGGGCAAGGCGAACGACCGCGCCGATGTTGGTGACGCGCGCGGCGGCGCGCGCGCGCGCGTGTGGAAAGTTTGCTCACTTTGCGCAGCGGGTTGGCGGACAATGGTGATATGTGATGAACGGGCGCGCGCGCATGGTGTCATTTGACACGGACGAACAGGGGGGTCGGTAACGGGATGTTTTGTGATGGTTCGAATTCAGATTTTACCATTTCTGAATTGAGCGGCTCCGAACGCAGATCCATATGTATCTTGCAGAGTCCCAGGGTTACCAAGAATTCTAGGAGTGGGTGGGGTGGTAGGTTCTAATTAATCTTTAGAGGATTTCGCAGTGAGTTGTCCACTCCACTGCTCGCGCAAGCATCCCGCCCACCCGCCCGCAACTTGGTTTGCAAACCTCACGCGGCGGCGATTGCGATGGGTGCTTGGCGCTGGCGCATTTTTGCGGCCGCGGTAGCCCGCGCATGCTCGCGTGCTCATCGGCCAGCTAGTTCGGCGCGACCGACGCGAACGCGGTTGCGCCGACCACTCGGCACATCCCAGCGGGCACTTCAGTGCGAGTCGGCGATTTGGGCGGGCGCGGTACCATGACGACGTTGACAACGGCAGGCAAGATGATGATAGTAGCGGTGCTGGCGACGATGCTGACAGCGACGACCGGCAGCCAGTGACGGCGCCGATGCTGATCACGCCGGCGACGATGACGGCGTCTTCGAACAATTTCGACACACGCGCGCGCGAAGTCCGTTTGGTAGCATGTGATGAAAAGCTTAAAAATCAATTGTTTCCTTAAGAATTCGCAAGAGCGCGCGCGCACGCTTTTGTTGAAAATCCGCGTTGCGAAACCCTGTTGTTGTTTCTTTGGGGAAAGGGTTGTTTTGGGCTGTCGATTTTGAAATCCTTCCGAAACCGAAGGTTTTCTGAAATATTTCGGCATGCGCGAGCAACGACGTGCGCGCGTGCACTTCGTCTGATTTGTTGCAGAGGATTCTCGCGACGGCACGCGCGCAAGGGCGTTCGAACGATTTCGACATGCGCGCGCGAAACCTGTTTGGTAGTTTTTTTTTTTTTTTTTTTTTTTTTTTTTTTTTTTTTAATATATATATATATATATATATATATATATATATATATAATATATAATATATATATATATATATATATATATTGAAAATGTTGCGAAACGTATGGTTTCCTTGAGAATTCGCAAGAGCGCTCGCGGATTTTTTTTTGTGTTTTGAAAACCCGCGTTGCGGAACCTTGTGTTTTCATATGTTTTTGGACACTCGATTTTGAGCATTGCTTCGGAACCGAAGGTTTTTGAAGGATTTCGGCATGCGCGCGCGACAACGCGCGCGTGCGCATGTCGTCTCGTTTTTTGCAAGGGATTCTTGAAACCCTTTGAGTTTTGATAAACGAGTGCGCGCGCATAGACGCGCTGGTGCGCGCGCGCTCGCGCGCAGAGCGGCCAGTTAGTTTAGCGCGACCAGCGCGGCCGCGGTGGCGCTGGCCGCTGGGGATCCCCCAGCGCTTCTCGCAGGCCGTGCTCACGCGCGGGCATTTCAGTGTGAGTCGATGATTCGGGCGGGCGCGGTATCACGGCGACGTTGCCGACGGCAGACGCCATGTTCATAGTTGCGGTGTTGGCAACGACGACGACGACGACGACGGTCACGACGGCAATGCCAATAAGGGCGCCCGAGAATTCGCAAAAGCGCACGCGCATTTTTATGGTGCGAAATCAGTGTTTGCTTCTCGTATGTTTTTCGGGGGCCTCGATCTTGCCATCTTTGCGATACTTGAGGTGTTTGAGGAATGTCGGCATGCGCGCGCGACGACGCGCGCGCGTGGACAGTGTTCTATTCGTCGCAAAAGATTTGGAACATAAATGTTAAGCAGCGTGGGCCCCAAACGGCGTGCTTCTAGCAACGTATGTGGTTGTATCTACATGAAGCAATCTAGGCGGTGCTATCTATGCGGGGCAGTCTGTGTGGTGCAATCGGTTTGTATAAACGAGTTGACACATTCCATGTTCTTGCAAACGTTCCACCCACCCGCCCGCAATTGGGCCTGCAAAACCAATGCGACGGCGATTGCGATGAGTGCTTGGCGTTGGCTGGTGCATTTCTGCGGCCGCGTCAGCCCGCGCATGCCCCGGCGCAGCGGCCAGCTAGTTTGGCGCGGCCGCCGCGGCCGCGGTGGCGCTGACCATTCGGCATTTCCCAACGGGCACTTCAGTGCGAGTCGTTGATTTGGGCGGGCGCGGTATCATGGCGACGCCGACAAGGGTAGACGCGATGAGGAGAGTAGCGATGATGGTAACGACGGCGGCGATGACGACGGCAATGACAATTGCAATGCCGATGTTGATCACGCCCGCCGATGACGATGACGATGTCTTCGCGTTGGCGGTGCAGGTTTTTGAAGGTGTTCGGCTTGCGCGCGAAGCCGACGCGCACGAGTGGCCCGCGTGGTACTATTTGACGCGGGTCGTGCCCCCCCCCCCCCCCACACACACACACACACACAGCACGCGCGCAAGGGCGTTCGAATGAATTCGACATGCGGCGCGAGAGGCCCGTTTGGCAGAATTTGGTGTAACGCAGCGCCGCGAACGCGGGCTGCGTTACGCAGCGCCGCGAACGCGGGCTGTTTTGAAAACTGTTGTTGCACAGCCATGTGTTTTTTCATATGTTTCCGGGGCGTTCGTTTTTGAACTCTTTGCGGAAACCGGACATTTTGAAGGATTTCGGAATGCGCGCGCGACGACGCGCGCGCATTCTCCCATTCTCTTTCAGGGGGTTCCTGCGACAACACGCGCGCAAAGGCGTCCGAACGATTTTGATATGGGCGCGCGAGGGGCCCTGTTGGTAGCAGATTATGGATACGCTGAAAACCAATGTTTTCCTTTTTGATATAAGAAGCAACAAGAAGACACACAAATATCAGAAGCGCGGGCGCCAGTTCCTGTTGATTGAAAACCTTTTTGTTGCTAAACCATGTGTACCTTTATATGTTTCCGTGTGTACCGATTTTGAAATATGTGTTACGTTGTGGTTTGTTGACAGATTCGGGCATGCGCACGAGACGACGCGCGCGTGTGTACATCGTATCATTCGTCGCAATGGGTTTTGGAAAGCAGATGATTCGTGGTAACCGAGTGCGCGCGCATAGACCTTTTTGCGGAAAGTGAACTAGGGGGGCGACATTGGCTTCTCTGGGATGGTACGTGTTCATGTGAAGGATGGGCGGTGGGGCAGAAACATATGTAATCTGCAGTACGAAAAAGGTCGGCTTTAATCTCGGGAATATCACATTATTTTCACAAAAAATAGATGTTGTGTCATCTATTGCAGATGATTGCGCAGTCTACGATGTACATTACATGATGCGAAGTCTATGTGGTGCCGTATACGTTGTGCAAACCACGTGGTGCAGTCTACGCGTTTTTATTTATGTTGTGCATATTAAGTAGTGCACCGTATGCGTTGCAATCTGCTTGGTAAACCTATGTTGTGCAATCTACGTTGTGCGTTCCAGGTGGTGCTACGTATGGTGTGCAACCTATGCGGTACGATCAACGCAGCGCCACGTATGGTGTACAATACATGTTGTGCGGCAGATGTGGGTCCATTTTTATACTATATATGTGTGTGCTGCGCAGTACCTGTGCTGCAAAGTCTGGTCTACGCGGCCACAAAGCGCCGCGAGCGCGACGCAACAAGTGTCAATATACGTGATGCAGTATACGTGGGGCACTATATGTGGAACAATCAATGTGGTGCAGTCGTTGCGGTCAAATCTATGTGGTGCAATGCATGTGGCGCAGCCCATGTGGTGCAACGTACGTTGTGCAATCTACGTGGTTGAATTCACATTGTGCTATTTCTTGGGTGGGGCAATCGATGTTGCGCAATGTATGCTGTGCAAGCTAATTATGTCTATGTGTTGCAATATATGGTGTGCATCTTATGGTGTGCAGTATTTGTTGTGCAATCTACCTGGTGCAATCCAACTGCGGCGACGCGACAACGAGCGACGCAATGTGACGGCGACGGCGAAACAACGGCGACGTGAGGCGACGTGAGGCGACCAGGCGGCGACGAGGCGGCGAGGGCCAGCACGGAACCGTCAGACCGACACACAAGCCCAGTTCTTTAGACCAGACAAGAACCCCTGAGTGCAAGCATTGTTTGGGGAACAACAGATGTTGTGCAATCTAGGTTGTGCAGTTAATTTCCGTTCGCAGTGAGTTGTCCACTCCATTGCTCGCGCAATCATCCTTCCCGCCCACCCGACATTTGGTTCGCAAAACCCATGCGACGGCGATTGCGATGAGTGCATGGTATTGGCTGGTGCACCTCTGCGGCATCGACCAGGCCAGCAGCTGGAAGGCCGCAATGCAATGCAGCTCACCTGGCGCGCCCAGGCCTGGTGAGCTGCTCAGACGTCGTCTTGTACTCTCAGGACTTAGGATACCGAATGAAGACCCAGCGAAACCCACCCACACCACCACCTCATCTACTCAGGAGATTCTCGGAGGCCTCCAGAGATTCTGGCAGCCCGTTTTCTCGGCCAAGCTCGTGGACCCCGAAGCGATCCAGAGGTACCTCGAGCAGCACCTACCCAAGTTCGACTGCGAGGACCTATGGGTCCCAGCTCCAGAAGATTTCCACAGAGCCCTCCGCAAGGTCCGACACACTGCTCCAGGCCCCGATCACATCCCGTACGCAGCATGGGCAACGAGCCCAGGTTCTTCCCAGATCTTCCATGATCTCGCGACTCAGATGTTCGAACCAGGCCAAGCTCCGTATCAGTTCAACGACTCGATCTTTGCTTTCTTGCCTAAAGGTCATGATGAGCCCCAGGACCAATGCGCCGTCTTCAGAGCCCCAGGTGCCACGCGCCCCCTCTCCTTAATGAACTGCGACGCTCAGCTGTGCCCCCCGTGTTTTGGAAGAGCTCAAGCTTTACTGTATGTTGGCACCGCCTCGAGACAAGCGTGCCCCCCTTATATGTGTATATATATATATATATACAAGCAGCCAAGCAAGCAGCTGAAGACGAGAAGTCCCCTGCTGCTCGTGTTCAGCGGCGGCCCCGGGTCCAGCGAGCTCTCGCCTCGGCCCTCCACGCCTCCCTCTTCCCCGACACTTTCGCTGTAGCCCTGGCTCGCAGCGTACATCCAGCCCTGCCAGCGCTTCGGCTGCCCAACCATGTATCGGAGCGCTGGCAGATGAGCTGGCCAGCCATCTCTCACGCAAACCCCCAGCAATTCGATGGGCTGACTATCAGACCCTGGCGGGTGCGTGGTGGACCAGCCACCGCTTCCCTTTTTGCCCGCGCCGGATCTGTCTCACCTGCCCGCGCCTCCTGCACCTTCTCGCCTTGCCTCGTGCCTTTCTCTCCTCCGACCCCCTCGTGCGAATTGGCCTAGGGACATCGGGGCAACACGCCAGCACTCCATGCCAGAAGCCATCTGAATGATGACCTTGTCGTTTCACTTCCATAATAAGCTGCGTGTCATCACGCTCGCCGTGCCCAGCGCCGCGATACTCTTCTCTACAGGCGCAGAGTGCGTGGCGCCTAGCCACTGCACTGCACGCGATGCGTCCATAGACGCCTCGTGGACTCCTGGAAGGTACGATTGTTCTTCACTCCTTCCTCCCCCCTCCTCCCCCCTCCCTCCTCCCCCTCCCCCTCCTCCTCCTCCTCCTCCTCCTCCCCTCTCCTCCTCCTCCTCCTCCTCCCTCCTCCTCCTCTCCCTCCTCTTCCTCCTCCTCCTCCTCCTGCTGCTTCGCCTCCTCCTCCTCCTCCTCCTCCTCCGCCTCCTCCTCCTCCTTTCTTCCTCCTCCTTCTCCTCCTCATCTTCTCCTCCTCCTCCTCATCATCATCATCATCATCATCATCCTCATCCTTCTCCTCCTCCTCCTCCTCCCCCTCCTCCTCCTCCTTTTCTCTCGTCAAACCCTTCTTCCCGGGCGCTCGGGTTCCGCAGGCCGTCTGGGCTGTCGGCGTCGGCATGAAGGGGAAGTGTCGGTATAGCGCCGCGAAGTTGGCCCTTGCGACCGCTATGGCCCTGCAGCAGCACGACCTGGGCGAGGAGGAGCGGGCTGGCAGCACAGTGGCCAGCCAGCTGAGGAGGAGGATGAGGAGGAGGAGGAGGAGGAGGAGGAGGGCAGCATAGTGGCCAGCCAGCTGGTTCCTCTTGCTTCGTGGGGTGCATGTCCAGAACGCGTAGGAAGTCTGGGCGTTGGCCGGTTCGCCTGGCTCGTCTGTGGTGTGCAGCGCCGTTTTGCCGTCCTGATTTGGGGGGCCTTTGGGGGACCTCCTTGTGGCCTCGTGGAGGCTTCGCGGAGGCTTCTTGGAGGTTTCTTGTCTTGGAGGCGTCTTCGAGGCTGCTGTGGTTATCTTCAATGGGAGAGGCTCGCAAGACCAGTTCGGTTTTCCTTCCCCCTCTTGGGCCCCTCTGGGGGACCTCTTGGAGGCCGCTGGGGCCGTCTTGGGGGCCCCTCGAGCCGTTTGAGGCCCTCTTGGACCGTCCTGGGCCCCTTGGGCCGTCTCTGGCGTCTTCGAGCTCGAAAAGGCGAGAGTGCGAAACGCGCGCAACCATATGGAAATCCATGTGAGCGACGCAAGCTGCCCGCGTCAGCTCGCGCGTGTGCGCCCTCGCCTCCACTGCAGCGAGCCGCGCTGGCGGCCCGCGTACAGCCACCGCGTGAGGCCGCCGTGCCATCTCGCGTAAGACCCGCTTCGGGTCGTCGCGCATGTGAAGGGCGACGGTCTGGGCGTCCATCCTCCGTGCCGTGCCTGGTGCGCCGTCGTCGCCCGACCCGACCCGCCCTCCCGAGCTGGATAGCCCTGCGCGATGGGGCTCCACAAGTTAGTGCCCCGACCCGCCCGCCCACCCGTCCCGATTGCTGATCGGCACATCGTTCGCCAAGGGGAGGAGGAGGAGGAGGAGGAGGAGGAGGAGGAGGAGGAGGAGGAGGAGGAGATACATGCGCGGCACAGGCGGATACCCCAAATCCGAGCTTGTCCTTTCAGTCCTCTGGGCCTGTCCACAACGCGCTGGCGCCCTCCTCCCCCGCGTCCGCCCACCTCATCTCAGTAGCGAGCGAGGGGGGGAAGTGTGAAGGGGCGGGCCTTCTCAGGAGGCTCGGAAGTCCCCCACACGCCCTCTGAGAAGTCTTCTGGGCCTTCCCGGAAGACACGGGCAGCTTCTTAGAAGGCGCGAGGGCTCCGCCTTTGAGAAGCCCTTCTGCTTCTCACTTTTCCCCCCTTCGCTCGCCGCGGGTTGTTAGGGTCTGCCAGCCCACCCGCCTCGAGCCGTGGTCCCGCACGGCGGGGTCCAGCCCGCCCTACCCGCCCGTCGGGGGCCGCCCGCCCGGCGCGACCTGCCTGCGCGAGGTGCGGTCCTACGCCACGGGGTCCCCCGATTTCGTTCAGGGGGGAAACACACAGACACAAGTAGTCCTCGCTCCCCAGGAAGATATGGAGGCTGTGGGCAATGGGGGGAGCACGAGCATCCAGAGCATGCGGAGGAGTAGGGGGGATCCTGGTATGCTAGTGCCCATTTCTAGTTCTGTGCCCCTGGGCCCCCTTTATTAAGGTCCCCGCATCCTCCTTCTGCCTCCTGCCACCTGCGCCCGAGGGCGTGCTCTTGAGGCGTCTTTGATCGTTGCGCCTGTGCACGTCGACTCCTTTCGAAGTCTCGCGTGTAGCGTCAATCCGCATGATAAGGACGAGCGGCAGGGATGCAAAGGCCTCGGGCAGCCATGCGGACAGTTTTCCGAGCGGGGCGGGCTGGCGAAAGCGGCCAAGGATGGACCGAAGGGGAAGCATGCAAGGGTAACCACGGAAATCCACTCATTCTTGCTATGCGGGTTGACTGTAGAACGACGCGCTCACGGTGCCACCTGCCTCCCCCCCAGGCGCCAGGAGCGGCCCTGGGCGGCCCCATGGAGAGGAGGAGGAGGAGGAGGAGGAGGAGGTTGAGGAGGAGGGGGATGCGGAGGAGGAGGAGGAGGAGGAGGAGGAGGAGGAGGATGGAAGGAGGAGGAGGAGGAGGAGGAGGAGGAGGAGGAGGAGGAGGAGGAGGAGGAGGAGGAGGCGGAGGAGGAGGAGGAGGAGGAGGAGGAGGACCGAGGACCGAGGACCGAGGAGGAGGAGGAGGAGGAGGAGGAGGAGGAGGAGGAGGAGGAGGGGCTGAGGCCGAGACCGGAGGAGCTGTGAGGGCGAGGCGAGGGCGAGGCGCGATCGAAGTGAGGGTGAGGGGCGAGCAAGAGCAATGAGGATGAGGAGGAGGCGGAGGTAGGAGTGAGGAGGAGGAGGAGGAGGAGCAGGAGGACAGGAGGAGGAGGAGAGAGGAGGAGGAGGAGGGCGGAGGAGGGGGGAGGAGGGAGGGAGGGGAGGCGGAGGAGGAGGAGGAGGAGGAGGAGGAGGAGGAGGAGGCGGAAGGCGGAGGAGGAGGAGGAGGAGGAGGAGGAGTGAGGAGGCGGGAGAGAAAGGTAGGAAGGGGAGGAGGAGAAGGAGGAGGAGGAGGGGGGCTGTTAGGGGGCAGGAGGTGGAAGGAGGAGGAGGAGGAGGAGGAGGAGGAGGAGGAGGAGGATGGGGAGGGCGGCGAGGATGTTGTCGTGCCGGGCGAGGGAGGGAGGGAGGGAGGAGGAGGTAGGAGGAGGCGGAGGATGGGGGGAGGGTGGAGGGGGAGGGCGAGGGCGAGGGCGAGGGCGAACGTGAGGGTGGGGGCGAGCAAGAGCATGAGGAGGAGGAGGAGGAGGAGGAGGAGGAGGAGGAGGAGGAGGAGGATGCGGAAGGAGGAGGAGGAGGAGGAGGAGGAGGAGGAGGAGGAGGAGGAGGAGGGAGGAGGGGGAAGACGAGCAGGAGCAGAGGGGGGGAGGGAGGGAGGGAGGAAGGGAGGAGGGAGGAAGGGAGGAGGGATGGACGAGGGGATGATGATGATGATGATGATGATGATGATGATGATGATGATGATGATGATGATGATGGTGATGATGATGATGATGATGATGATGATGATGATGATGCTGATGCTGATGATGCTGATGATGATGATGATAAAACTGATGCTGATGCTGATGCTGATGCTGATGCTGTTGATGATGATGATGATGCTGATGGTGATGGTGATGGTGTTGGTGATGATGATGCGGATGTTGATGCTGATGCCGATGCTGATGGTGGTGCTGATGATGATGATGCTGGTGCTGGTG